TTAGGGCGCTATTCTAACTGATATAATCTCCATGGATCTTTCGACGACGGTAAAGTTAAGAAAATGAGGAGTTGAACAAAATCTGTGAGTCAACAGTCGTATTTTAATTATTTAGGAGTTTCCATTAGTTTAACAAGAAATTCGAACAATAGATGCAATATAAACGATTTAAAGAAAAAATTATTTTTACTTCGGTTGATAACATGTGTGTTGTTATAAAGTGAGTAGACTGACAGTTGATAATACAAACACCAGGCCATGATAATACATAAAAGTGCGGTTTCTATACATGCTAGGGAACACTGATGTCAGGTGGTGACATCAGCCAGGGTAACACTGATGTCAGGTGGTGACATCAGCCAGGGTAACACTGATGGCAGGTGGTGATATCAGCCAGGGTTACACTGATGTCAGGTGGTGATATCAGCCAGGGTAACACTGATGTCAGGTGGGGATATCAGCCATGAAATAATGATGTCAGGTGGTGACATCATTCATGAAACAGTGATGTCAGATGGTGACATTAGCCATGAAAAACTCATGTCTTGTGGTGATATCAGCCAGGGAACACAAAATATAGTATAGGAAACACCGTATAATCTCAAATTATGTTTTCCATAAAACGCACGAATAATTTTCGTCCCGTTTTCCAATTTAACAAAGGACCACCTGTACTGCACATTCTAAGTTTTGATTCTAAAAGCATTCATTCAAGCAAGCCATTGTCTACACATAAATTAATGACGTCATCACATAGTTAATTACTTGCCTTTTCTTGTGCACTTCGTTGAAAAGGTTGTTCACAATAAATTGAGCATTAGTGGTCGACGTTTGGATCAGCTGGGTGTGTCCTTGATTTTTACTCTTGCCCCCTGTGTTGGATTCTATTGTAAATAATAAGACTGCACGTCGGCTAGGTACAAGTCGGATCCTTGATGTGTTGACGTTATTTGACACGGGGGCAACCAAGCGAGGGAAATATCGAGGCCCTGTCGGTGACGCATGTGTGTTGACATGCCCGGGGGACCAACTTTAGCGCTGATTTGGGGCATTTCGAAGTTTTACGACATCGTTACGCTGCGTGTGGATGTATTTGTGTGTGTGTGTATGAAAAAGTGTGTGTGTGTGTGGGGGGGGGGTCCAGGCCCAGGGGTGCCAGGGGCGATTGTTACGACCTGGGGCGTAGATTAAAGAAAGGCGGAATAAGAGGATAAGTAAGCGATCTTTATATTCCGTACAGTACAATCACATAATGTACATGCATAACAAAAAGAACAGTGTGGGGGGACAACTAGGATCGATAGTTGTTAAAGCGAGGTACATGACATGAGGTATTAAGGGAAAACTTGACAAGGGGAACAATTGAGAAGGAGAAAGCTTGAAAAGGGGAAACTTAAAAAAAGAAAAAAGAAAATAAAACTTGAAAAGGGGGAAATCTTGCTTGAAAAAGTGGGTTTCTTAGCAAATGTTTTGTTGTTTTTGCTTTTCCCAATATTATAGATTTACAAAAAAATATAGTGATATGCCTTATCGTTCTATTAATAATAAAAAAAAAATACAATTCAAGGTCAAGTTTATCAAATTCAGTTGGGGGGGGGGTCAGCTTTATTTCTAGTGTTATTGTTACTATGTTACTTTGTCAGTGATCCAGCTCTGCTCTACATGTTATGTTGTCCGTCCTTAGCATGCGAAGTTGATCAATTCAATTTTCGACGTGAGTTGTGCCACCCGGGGCAGTCCTTGTGATTTTTCTCCCCCCCCCCCAACCACTTACCCCAACCACTTACTCCAACCACTTACCCCAACCATTATTTTGTTACTTTGTTACTTTGTCGTTGATCCAGCTCTGCTTTACATGTTATGTTGTCCGTCCTTAGCATGCGAAGTTGATCAATTCAATTTTCGACGTGAGTTGTGCCACCCGGGGCAGTCCTTGTGATTTTTCCCCCCCCCCCCCAACCACTTACCCCAACCACTTACTCCAACCACTTACCCCAACCATTATTTAAAACAAAAACAACACAAAAAACACCGCCAATAGACGGACATTAGCAAGTTCCTACACGCTTGGAAAGATTACAACGGCGAATGATAGGACAGGAACGTAGCAATCAAAGCACAACAACGAAACAGGGAACTACGTCAACAAAACCAAACAAAAACGTGATTGGGAGGATACGGAGGTAGGACACTAAGACATGGATACGAGGGTAGGACACTAAGAAATGGATACGGAGGTAGGACACTAAGAAATGGATAGGGGGTAGGACACTAAGAAATGGATACCAGGGTAGGAAACCTAGAAATGGATAGAGGGTAGGACACTAAGAAATGGATACGAGGGTAGGAAACCTAGAAATGGATAGCGGGTAGGACACTAAGAAATGGATACGAGGGTAGGACGCTAAGAAATGGATAGAGGGTAGGACACTAAGAAATGGATAGAGGGTATGACACTAAGAAATGGATACGAGGGTAGGACACTAAGAAATGGATCCGAGGGTAGGACACTAAGAAATGGATACGAGGGTCGGACACTAAGAAATGGATACGAGGGTAGGACACTAAGAAATGGATACGAGGGTAGGACACTAAGAAATGGATATGAGGGTCGGACACTAAGAAATGGATGCGAGGGTAGGACACTAAAAATGGATACGAGGGTAGGACACTAAGAAATGATATGAGGGTAGGACACTAAGAAATGGATAGAGGGTAGGACACTAA